AACGTGTATATTTGTGTGTACTGTCATTGGTCAATACTTAATTTAAAACATTTTCCGGTCACCTCCAAAATACTTTTTTTTTTTTTTAAGCGAAGTAATTACGTGATATTACCAATTGGGGGCGCTAAAGATTCACACATTTTTCTTCTCCCTTTAGCGTTAATAACATGAAAATAAAAATAAACAAGAATGTGTTGATAAAAATGTTTTTGTATCAAAATTACTGATGTTAACGCATGTTGTGAAAAATAAATATGTGTTAATTGAAATAGTTTATGGTAAAATTAAGTTGAAATCAGTGTCACATAAAGAGACAGAAATAATATTTTACTACTCTCTACAGTATTTAAGTATATTTATATTTAAATATGTCACGTTTTTCAATAGAATCTCCAAAATCTTTTTCTATTGGAGAAAAATATGAGAATAACAGCAATGTTTTATACTTTGACTCAGCTTTTTGATTAGGTCTTTTTCTAAAATCCCAAGTGAAAGATGAAGAAATGGCCAGCAGATGTCATCACTCTAACTCTATCAAATGCTGCAAAACCGTGAATCATTTTAAGCATAGTTACTGGCATTTGCTTAATGGGTTTCAGTCAGTGCCTTGCAAAGCTTTTTCATCATCACTTGTGCCAGAGTCTGCAGATATTTTGCCATCTCATAATCATAGTCATCATTATTTCTGCACACTGTTCCTCACTACAGCTTTAGACTGGTCGAGCTTGAAAAAAATACCGCTCTTCTTTCCCATTTAACCTTCATTTTTAGTCTCCTTTGTGTTCCCTTGTGAAGTCGGAGGACAAAAAGGCAAGCATTGCATTTGAACTGTGAGTTTTAAGTGCTTTATTCTGAATTAAGAGACAAGATAGCTCTCATCACTTCATTTGATTCACATCATGCATTTAATTACTTTCATCCTTTGTGAAAATTAATTGAAAAAAATTAAACCCAAGCAAAACTTTGGCTGCTTTTAAGCTTAATAAAAGAACTGCATTTCGCTTTCAAAAACACCGCAGCCAAAGGTCTGAAATGAGATGCAGGTCAATCAGCTATTCTACTAAAATATGAAGATTAAATATTCTTCTGTGGAGGGATGCAGGTGCTTTTTTGCCCCCTTTAGCAGAAATGACCTTTTTTAAGAGTTTTTACATAATTGCTTACTATCTGGCACTGGTTGAAATTTTTTAACCACTCCTCTATGCAAAATTCCTTCAGTTGCCAGATGACCTTAGGCAGGAGGGTTTTCAAACAGCAGTTCCTCTATCAAATCCTTTTTGAACTCTGGGCTTTAAGGACATTCAATCACCTTACAGTTCTTCCTTTTGAGTTATTCCAGGGTGGACTGAAGGTTAATTATTGCCTTGTTGAAATGTCCCTTTCTGATTCACTTTTCAGACAGGTAGCCTCATATTATATTCCAATAATCTTAGTTATGATGCAGAATTGATAGTTCAATAAATGATCGCCCAGTCCCCCAAGAGAAGGGAGGCGACCCCAGACCTTACCATTTCTGTCAGTTCTTCTTCTACTAAGCTCCCGGTGTGACAAACATGTCTACTGTTACTTTAACCAAAAAGCTCTGCCTCTGATTTGTCTAGACAGAACAAATTATTCTAGAACTCCCAGCCTCAGCCTGTTGGCAAAATGTATTTTACTCTTAAATTTTTTGCTTCGAACATCAAAGTATTTTCCCTGCAACATCTTCAATACAGGGAACCATCTCTTTCTGATTGTCTAAACCTTTGCCTTGACAGTAACACTTGCATGAGCTACCAGCAGCTCCTCTAGTTAAAACTAGGGGTTTTGTCACTCTTGGGTTGAATTTGCTTTGGCAGCCGGTTCAGTAAAAACTGGCAGCCATCTAAAATCTACAGTTTTTACTGAGAGTGGAATCGTGGCTGCAAAAAATAATTTTAAAAAAATCTCTTGCTATATTCTTCTGGAGGTCTTAGAGAAAACTTAAGATTGTGGCATGATGATTTCAAAGAGAAGCAGCAAACTCTAGATGGGTTTAATTAAGACAGGCTCCACTTGTCACTTTACAAGCGGAGGCTTATTTTATGCTAACAGTGACTAAACTTTTCTGAATATAAAGAATTAACAGTGTTCATTTTAAATGTGTTAATCTTCACTTTTTTTTCAAATTTACAGCTATCAGTAGCTTTAGGGGAAAAAAATGAGAGCATCAAAGTGTTACACTTTATAATGCCCATATTTAGTCCCGCCCATAGTCAGCAGCAGTGAACTGTTCATTCCTTAAGCATTGCTCAGCTGTGACAGGACTAAAAAAGAGAAATAACTCTGTCCTTCTCTCTGCTCTCTTGCTGTCTGCAAATTCCCAAACTCACTTTTTTGCCATTTAAAGCGTAAAAGAGACTCTTGGTGTTAGACTTTAAACAGTCCACCAGTGTTTGCTCCAGCTAGTACTGCCATCACTACCACTGTAACCTCACCATGTTCATTTCCATGCTGCTCTAAGCTGCCAGCTGGTTACGTAAAGTGTTTTCATATGAAACACATTTTGGTGAAGTCAGTGGAATGTTCAGTAAATGCTCCAAATTAAATCTTGTGTCACATGTGAAGTCTACAAATGTACAAAAAAAAAGCTGTTTTTTAGCTTTCGAAATTACGTACAGCTCAGACTGTGCCAGAGCTGGCTGTCTAATATGTCAGGTATTTTCAGCAAGTTGTGCCTGGACATTGTGGAAGGATCTAGTTGGGAGGAAAACAGGATTATTATTATTTTTAATGCAGTGTGAGTTAATTGGCTGTGAGTTTAAAGTATCCTATAAATATCTTAAAACCATTCTTCTGCTAACAAATCATTTGGAGTATTTGGAAGAAAAGGAATGATCCCCTTACAACAGTGGGCCTCTTTGTACCAGATCAGATTTCTTAGGAGTTCAGAAGTCTGAGTCAGAAAGAACCCAGATTAGTGAGTCAATGTTACTTCCTGTAATTCAAAACTGCCCGCAAGAACCCAGACCCCACAGCACGTCGATCTGACAAAAACCCCGGCAAGTCTGCCGCACATGGTTTTGCTGTTTTTGTTTTGTTTCACACGTCGGGTGTATTTCAGGTCATCCGCATACACTGCTGCCAGATGGACAGTAACAGAGGGTTATGCCATTGACTGAGCAGCTGGATGTCTGACTGGTGCAGAATATTTGCGGTGGTCCTGCAGAGACTCTCCAGTTTGATCTCTTTCTTTTCTCTGTCTGCACATTCTCTAGAAAACAAGCAATGCACCACACTTTTGTATTTACATTTTCTGCATTGTATCCCATCATCTTATTTCACTTAATATGTGATCCTGATTTACTCAAGCTCATCTTTAATACAGTCCAATAACAGTTATTCTAATAACTCATTTGTGTCTCATCTCATCTATAATCTGTGATGTGATGCAAGTAACCTGTGCACAAAGAAGGTTACTCATTTGGTTTATTTGCTTTTTACTCGAAGCAGGTTCCAGCATAGATGAAAGTACGGAGCCAACCATCCTTAGTAAACAATTGATTCCATATGTGATTCGGGGGAAAAGGTTGAACTGTTGAGTCATTTGCCATAAATGATGACATTCATTTTAAATCTATCCCAGTCTGCTTGTCTGGCATAAAGCCAGAGTACCAAAAAAAAAAAAACTGTTCTAAGGAATTAGTCAGTTTTTCTGTAAGCAAGCTTTTGTGAATCGTATAAAGGACTACTCCTCTCTGACTCAGAATTGTCAGTGTCCAATGTTTTTGTCAAGTGCTTTGGAAAAACTGTAAATGTTAAACCATCCACCCACCAGAGAGAAGTCTGCACAGAAAGATCTCAGCGCACTGAATCGCCCAGCCAGAAGCCAACTCAGCATTTCTTCTTTATTTACTAATAAACTACAACTCATTCTTTATCTAAAGGTCACGCTTTTGTCATGGATCTGACATTGTGTCTGTGTGCCGCTCTGTTTCCTCATTCGCCTCACCACTTGCTAAAGATAGCACCATTAAACATCATGGAACAAAAAAAGATTCAATAATGAAGCTGCTTTTGGCCTAAAATGGTCAAAGAAAATAAAAAGCTTCCCTGACGTCCTGACAGCATGTCCATGCTCAGATTTTGAAGAGATGCATGGTAAATGCACAATAACAGCTCAAGAGAGTATTTAACTGTTTGATATTCGTCATAGGTAGCCATAAACCAATAAATAACCACAAATGGCTGAGTATGCACTTTAATAAAACCAACCAAAATCTACATATTTGGATGGCTTTGGATCCAGATGTTCACTTCCCCAGGGTTTTACTGCATTGTACAGCAAAAAAAAAGAAAAAGAAAAAGAAAAGTTTTCAGCAATTTCAGCTGCCCAGCTCAAAGTGTTTTCTAGTGTCAGCACACTGCATCTGACTATAACAGGCACCATAGTTCAAGTCAAAGCTGAGATCTTCTAATACCATATAGCTGCAGAGGAAAAGCCATACAAGTAGAGGCCATAAAAGGCTACTGACTTAACATATTTACATTCAGTACTTAATTACCCAGAATAACCTGTGACGCTATTGGCAGTAGTGCAGTTAAAATAAGAGAAATCCTGGGACTGCTGAGCTACTACACCACATACTTTCCCCAGGAATGGAATGCTGCTGCTGCTCCTCAAGTCTGAGGGAGGAGGTCGCTGTTTTCCCTCACTCAAAGGTATTTTTTGAATACCTTGTAGTGGAGAGCTGACTCAAAAATATAGGAGGAGGAGAAGAGGGAGGAGGGGGTGGTGAACACACTTAGAGAGCAACAGGTTTATGACTTCCTTTAGAAATCTGAAGTTTTTCTTGGCTAATGCTGGCAACGTGAGCTGACTTTGTGCAGATTAGTTTTTGTAAAGTAAGCAAAAGCAGTCGCCAGCAGTATCTGTCTTCTATTTATGGCCTCCCCCAGGCCTCCCCCCTCCCCACCCCACCTCCCCAGACTGACGTCAGCACAAAGTTATTTTCATGAATGGAGGGGGCGGTCACGAGGAATCGGTGACGTGAGTGCTTGCGGAAGCAGAGCGTGGAATGTTGGTACATTGTTGTTGTTTTGTAGTTAATTTAGTACGAGGATACGCCGCTGCCCGTCTGTGCTGGACGCTTTTTTACCAAGTTTGTCAACTTGCTTCACCGGTTGTCGAGGAAACATACTTTGACAGTTTTACACACTCCGGTCCACAGATATCTGAGTCCACAGAGGTGAGGTTGTATTTTTTTTTTAATTATTTATTTTTTTCGGGAAGATGTTTTGACATTCCTTTCTAAATTACTCGAGTTCTCACGGTGACATAGTGGCGCACGCAAACAGGCTTGTGTTGTGCATCCTCTTCGTAGGATAGGTTTTGATCCCAGTTATGAAAGCTCATGTTGATTTCGTAGATTTGTTGCTTTCGGGCGGACACGTGTTGTGCTGGAGATACATAATACAGTGCTTCAAAAGTGGCGCAGACCTCCGAGCAGTCGCATATAGGAAGTTAGAAATTGTATGAAAATATGTAAAAGGGGGAAACAAACGTGTGTTTTGCCGCTTTCCTGCGATTTGAAATAGTTCTTTGAAAATAACAGCGGTGATTATGACACTGACTGAATGCGGTCCCTTTAAAAAAAATTATAGCTAATAATTTTTATAAACTGTATAACGAGCGAGGAGACGTTTTCGACCAGCATTGTGGGAGGGAAGAAAAATAAGACGATAAAAATCACACTATTTCTTCGCACTTCTCATTAAAAGTAAAGCTAAAGTTACAGAATGTGTTACAAAATATGTTTATATACTATTACTAAGCACGCCTGAACCTCTAAGGTTTTAGATTATAACTTTTTCTAGAACGAAAAAAACCCAAACCCCAAAATTGCATTTTCCCCCCCACATGTGTGTTTATTTATAGCATTTCTGTGACTTGAATGAGATTTTCGGAAAATGGAAGTGAAATAAACTTCCTCACTTTCCTATTGAAACAAATCCATGTACAACATTTTTCACATCCTCCTTAATTTTCGCGCTCTTCCCCAGCTCATGGCAGCGAGGTTGATAGCGGGTGCTATAATGCAGAATACCAGCCTGCTTTTGACATTGGAATCGACACGTGGTCTGCATTTTTAGACATGTGGGACAAAGGGCACGATGTGGAGTGGAGGTAGACCACCGGGGTTGACTAGCCTACAAGAAACAGCAGAAGGAACCCATATTTCCACAAACGATGAATCACTTTAGAGACTTTATCTTATCGCTGTGTTTAGCTATAATTCCTGCTCTGCATAACTCTTAATGAATTGGGTAAAGATATGAAAACCTTGAATTACAATGACTAATTGAATTTTTGACCATGGCTCTAAAATAGCTCACAATGATCTTCTTTGCAGTCTTGTATGTCCACCTTTCAGTTTGCCCTTTGCCATTTACTTAAAAACTTGTGATTAATATATGGAAAATATTTGTGTCTGAGTAACTTGTTCCGCTTAGATGGTCACAGGTTGATGTCTTGAGGGGGGGCTTTATGATTCACTGTTGTTTCTGGTGGGTGCACACTGACTTTCAGTCTGAAGCAGTAGGAGCAGGGTGTGCTCCTGTCATGAGGTTAACATGTGGTTCAATCACCAAAGTGATGATATCTTTTTTGGATGGAGAAGTTACAGCAGCTGACTCATCATACCAGTATGGGACAGTGGGAGGGGGGGGGGGGGGGGGAGAAATTCCCCTGAAGATGCAGCATATGGTCAAATTGTCTTCCCTTTGTTTCTCATTTTGCCGGACAGTGGTGATGGATGAAAGCAGTGCAGAATGCGAGACCGTTTTTGTGGTGGAGTATTGTGAAAGTGAAATGTTTGTGGTTAGCAATGCTATGACTCACACAGAACACGTTGGCTGTGATGTGTTTTGCTCCTCTTACTGGAAAAAAGATGTCAAGTTTTGATTACTGACTGTGGAAGCCAGTGATTTTTATTTGCAGCCGAACATGCCAACCAGAGTAGACACAGGCAATAAGAGGCGACTGTTTGAACAGGTCTGCCTTGCATCTGTCAAACGTGACTCCCTGGCAGTTATATAGCATTTGAGATTGTTCCCTCTGCCACCGGCAGCGACTTGTATCAAGTCATTTCTGTCAGAAAGACTGGATCTCAAACCACTGCTTTCACCTCATTATGGTCAGAGGTGTGGCAAGTGTCAGAGGTACTCCTGTAATTATATTGCCGGATTGTGTTGCTGGGAATTCTCTGTTGATTCCTGATGGAGCTGGATGCAACTCTTGATTCTGTTGTGATTCAAACTCAAATCAAATAATTCGAAACGTTTGCTCAACCTATCTGTCCTGAAAGAACATTATCGAAATCTTTAGGATTATTATTAGCAGTGACTGAATATTAATATGTCTTCTTTTATTCACTAATTATTCGTTATAATTAAAAAAAAAAGGACCGATGTGTCCACTTTTCATTCTTTACATCGTTCTGAAAACCAGTGTCGATGACTGGGAGAATATCTTCTCACAGATATTCGGTGAGATCTCCTCCCTTTCCGCAAGAAAGTTCCGCTGGTCATGCCAACCATTTCTGAGGTTCTCTGTACTTTTCCTTCCTCTCCCTGAAACAACGGGATTTTCCAGGAAATGTCAGATCAGGAGGGTGTGATTCCCTGCTGCTGGTTGTCGCTTTTACCAGTAAACAGCATGACTCACTGCTCAGCTATGCTCTCCATTTCCTTCACATAATATCCCACCAAATGTGCTGCGCTGGAGAAAGAGCAGAGTGCTGCGTGCCTCAGTCTGTGAAGAAATCTCTCCACCCCCCTCCCCTTAGAAAAGTGCAAGAAATGCAAGCGCTTTCTCATGAAGACTAAAGTTGAATGTCAAGGGCAGCATTAAGTCTGCTTTGCGCTGAACCCCCTCCCCAACCTGCACAAAAAGAGAAGAAAAACAAAGAATCCAGACAAGCCAGCTCTGCATTTATTAGTGAAGTGTGAGCGCATAAGTCTTTGATACACTGTTTATTTTAGGGGAAGGCTGGGCCCCACAGTTACCTGCTGTAACTGAACAGCAGCCATGAACTTGACCCGATCCCTGACTTCAAAAACAGTAAGCTATACTTTAACCACAAGGTATCGGTGAAGGAAAGGTACATACATTTATTTAACTGGCTTGGTCTCAGATGTGGAGCAAGGTTATAATGGATTTCTTGTCCCACAATTGTTTGCCTAGAGATGATTCTTTTTAAAATCACTGTTTTCTTGCTTCTGCTCTGGTTTACTTGCTTTTGAACTAGTTAAAAATATTCATAACATGCATCTGTACATCTTCAAAGAACACAGCAGGCAACATTGTGCTTTTTGCTCAAATCCCCCAGCAAACAAGCAGAGCCGTGAAATGTTTGTGCTTATAGTGGATAGACAGTGGAGCATTTACTCCAGTGAGTACTTATTTGGTTATCAGTCGTCAGAGGGGTGTCGTTAGGAATAAAACAGTATTGCTTGTTGTATATCAAAATGAGGGAAAGTGAATTTTTAAAAAAAATGAAGCACTTTGTTTACAATTTGTCCCTCAAAGGAACACAACAATAAGACCGAAAGACTCCTGACTTCCACACGTAAGCATGCGCAGGCTGTTTTCCATTTATTTGGCCAAGTGACAGATGTGCGATACTTCAAAATTCCAGACATTTTGTGAAATTTGCAGCCATTGTTTTACAAGTGGGTTTGTCTCCACTCCACCCCCGCAGCTGAGCGCATTGCAGGATATATTCAGACTGCATGTTCCCTCTTCAGCGAAGGTTCGCCTGTGTGCATGTGAGGGTTTGCACATGTGTGTTCGCTCAGGAATGTGGTTTTGTTCTTTACCCGCCAACTGTGGCTTTTCTTTGAGGTATTTTCCCACACTCCTTTCCTTACTGTTATGAAGAAAAAAAAAAAGCCTAACGTAAGTTGTTTTCTTGACTATAGTGAGAGGACGTGTTTTGTCTGTCTTCTCTGTGTGGTTGCTGGGGTTTGTTTTGTTCTCTGAGGAAACTTTGGTGTCTTAATCAAGAAAGCCGTGTCCCTGTGCAAGTTGCAAAAACATAAGCACATGCCTTAAGAATTTCAGGCAAACAATCTGGCATACTGGCTCAGACTGGGGACCTCTTGTATAAAGATCAGAGAGGCCCCAGTCCGCTTTTCCATGATTTTTGCAAGGAACATACCCAGGGACCCCCCTCTGACGCAATACCACTTAAATTAGACCGTTTAGGGCCAGCTTGCTTTTGAGGAATGTTTTATTTTAGTTCATCATCTTTATTTGATGCCTCTAAAATCTCAGTTATGTAATTCTTTGCAGCATGTTTTGCAGATAAATAAAAGACATCAGCGAGCACACCAGATGTTCCTTAAATCTCTAAACCGAAGTTTATGTGGATTCTGTTTGTAGCTGTTCGCGCATTACACACATTTGCCACGTGTTTATTTTCCAAGGTAGGATTCTGACTTGATTTTCTATTTCAGGACAATGACTTAGTAATGTTTAAAAGACAAGAAGAAGAAAAAAGCATTTGTTTTTCTAAGTTTTCACTGCACTACTGGTCTGAGTTAGAATCCCCTAGAGGCCCTGTATTAACAGAAATATATATATATCACACAATGAACAGCCACACCCACAGTATTTTCTTCCACGAATGCTTCAGCTAATAGGTCTGAAGAGAATATTTCCCCTCTTACTGAGGGTATCACTTATCGCATTGCTCCCTTTAAATTGTTTAGTTGGCAGAAATTTGTGTCAGCACTGCGGGCTAAATATATCCACGAGCGTTAAATAAGGGCATAGGGCAGCTCAGGAAAGCCCAATGTAAGAGGATCCAACCACAGAGAGACGGCACTAAATCGATAGACTACATTGTCTCCCAGCAAAAATACATCAGTGACTATAAAGGAAACTATTTCTCTGTGACACTCTATCTTTAGGAATTTTCCACATGCTGCCCTGTAAAGTTCAGCAGAACTATAAATGTTATACTGATGTGATGATTTGCTTTGATGAGGAGGCAGAATCCTGTAGACTGCTGCTCTGTAAATCCAGAGAGGTCAGATCAGAAGATAAATGATGGATTTAAGAGGAGAATTGAGGATTTTTGTACACAGGTTGCCTTGAAGTTAGCAGCACAAGTTAGTGCTGTTCTTTTTTTCTTTTGGTCTGTACTATGTATGGGCTGTGTTGCGGTTATGAATGAGACTTGTTTACCCTTTTGGTGACCATGTGACTCACACTCCCACGCCCATTTGCAGGGCGTTTCCATGGTATCTGTTGAGCATGGAACAGTGCACTCGTAGTCAAGCTGGTCTGTAGGTCTTGAAATGGAGCCTTTGGGGGATGTGTGCCTCTCACAGGATCGCAGCTCAGCGCTCTTGCTTTTTTTGGCCATGGCAGCAGTCTGGAAAGCATGTGGCTCACTGTAATGAGTACAGAGAGGCTTTTCTAAATACTGCCCTGGCAAAATCACTGAGGCAGAGAGCTTAAATGCAAAGTTCTGTGACGAGCAGGAGAGAGGTTGCCTGTTTCTAATTTTGCCTGGTCTAGTGAACTACATTGTCACGGCCCTCTTTTTAATATGTAAAGACAGACAAGCAACAGTGCTGACAATTAATAGAGTCATGCTGCCATCTGCTGGTATTTATATCACTAACAAACAAACATGAGCACTGACATATGATGTAACCCTGGGATGTGACGTCTGTGCAGTAAACTTCTCGAGTATCACCAGTGGGGGTGTCATTTCTGCTTATCTGTCATATCTGAAATGTCAAATAACATGCAAGTAAAAAATATCAGTATCTCGTTTTTAAAATATAGTGCTTGAAGTAAAATGCACTGTTTAAAATTCCTGTATGTTAACGCACTCTGCAGCAGAAGTAACCCGAGTAGTATAAACTAATGATATGTGCAAAGTAACACATGCTGTCCAGTCATTCTAGTAGAATAACTTCACTACCTCAATTGCTTCTAAATTGCCAACATAAGTAGCTGAGTAAATCTGCTTAATTGTAATTACTTTCGTCCATCAATAATATGTTCTGTTTCACTTACTTGAGGTCGTATGTTTTTTACTTTTCAGTGTCTTCTGTGAGATTCTGGTCATTTGTCTTCATGCAGGGAATGACGACTACTTTTAAGACGAGCAAAGCTTTAAAGGTAAGCATGAGAAGTTTGAAAAATGTTTTAGTGATTCACGCCTGCACACAGTTCTTCATGCACTGCTCGTGTCTTGCAGGTCAAGAAGGAGGTGGGTGAGAATGCCCCTGTGCTCAGCGATGATGAGTTGGTTGCCATGTCTGTGCGGGAGCTCAATCAGCACCTGCGTGGGCTCACCAAGGAGGATGTTGTGCGATTGAAGCAGCGACGGCGGACCCTGAAAAACCGCGGCTATGCCGCGAGCTGCCGCATCAAACGTGTTACCCAAAAGGAGGAGCTGGAGAGACAAAAGACCGAGCTGCAGCAGGAGGTGGACAAGCTGGCCCGTGAGAATGCCAGCATGAGATTGGAGTTGGATGCACTACGAGCCAAGTATGAGGCTTTGCAGTGTTTCGCACGAACTGTGACCAGAGGGCCTCTCTCACCAGGCAAAGTTGCACCTACCAGCGTCATCACCATTGTCAAATCTACCAGCCAAAACAACTCCAGCCCATCCGCTTTCTCAACACCTTCCTAGTGTTGACAGGACTGGGCTCTCCTTTGCCTGCCTGGTCCTTCCTATTTCTGACCTGGTCTAAACCTACTCATCCCACACTGAGACGAGGCTCGGTAGTTAGACTGAGGGGTGGCCGGGGTGGCAAGCTCTATGTGATGTTATGCTGCATTCACAATTCTGTCTCCCTCTATTTGTCTCTTTTACACAATCTACATTGTCTGTGCACTGTGCAAACCCCCTTCCTGACAACCAGCACCGGCAGGTTATCGGGCCTCTGTGACCCTACCTCCATGACTAATAGCAGAGATTTGCTTTTACTCAAATTTCAAGTATTTGACACGCCTTAATGTGGCAGCACATGGTCTGGGACACCTCTCATACTTTATGATGTAAAGAATAAAATACGAGAGGTTTAAAGTAACGCATATGAGACAGTATGGATACTTTTAAAGTCTTTGCCAAATCACATTTTCTTTGTATAAATATTAATGAGCCTCTGTGTCTGTTGCCTTGAACAGTTCTACATGTGATCTATGCAATATCTCACATGTATTTTAACACAGAGGTGATATCTTTCCACTGTGAGGTCAAATGGACACTTCTTCAAGGCCACAGTTATCAGATGCCTTTGAAAGCTAGCCAAACGCGGCACCGGAAACTTATATGCTTAGCACTTTTAGGAGGTGCTAAGCAGTAAAGTCACTTGACTAAGTGTTTGAGTAACATGAAAACTTATGTAGAAATGGTTCTGAGGGATCCTTGCATTATACTGTTGACAACTGACCAATGTTTAGCTAAAAAGCTATACTAGTCTTTTAACCATGATACCTATATAAGTAACTTATTTAGAAAGCAATACCAGTACAGTTCAGAGAAGTTTGAATGATGCAGCTAAAAGTGATCTAATCTGGCAGTTTTGAAGAAACACCTTAAATTAATATTTGGAAAGAGTTAAAATCACCCATTACGATAGAATTTGTCTTTGTCGGACTGGACTGTGTTTCCTTGTACAATATTCTGAAAAGTGCCATTTGTGCCTTCATTCCTCCTACTGGCAACTGAGAAAAGACATGTCTGAGTACCGTCAGATTTCAGAAGGGGTTCCGATCTCTCTTGTCAACTACATTCTAGTTGACAGATAGCTGAAAAGTACTGTTATGTTATGTTGTCAAAGACAGTGTAGGCAGTTGGAGCTGTTGCATGTGATTGCATTTGTGTGTGGCCCCTTGACTCAGAAGTTTCTTGATATATATTGTAGAAAGTTTTTTAAATTCTGTTTAAATGGTAAACTTGGTCAGACTAAATTGCAAAACTGGAAAGTGATTAAGGAACATGCGTTTGACAATGGTGTCTTTCATCAAATAGCACTTAGAGAAGACTGTTAAGATACAGTGAGTAGAAAAAAAAATCACAGGGCCACTTGTTTAAAGAAGGAAGTTACGCTTGCATTTCTGCAGTTACTGGAGCTTAACTAAGTGAAAACACAATGTGGTCGGACCACTTACAGGAAAGTTGTGCCGAATGTAACTAATGATAGTGAACTACTACTATCTGCTGAGGCACTTACTGAGTGGTGTTTAATCTCTTTTCTTTATATGCAACTCTTGGTAGGTAATCCATATTGGATATAATAATAAGAGCAGACCTTTTAAGTATGATGAAATTCAAGTTGCTTACTGTATATTACAGACTAGAGACGGCAAAGCTCCCACCGCTTCTGTTGTCCCTTAGATTGAGAACTCCGTCCAAATAGAAATCATTCCTAATACTGGGTCACAAGAAGTGCTGCTGCCGGTGTTGGTATTTCCGAAACAGTAACCAGCTACTTTTCTTTTGACACGCTCTTCTACAAGAGAACTCCTGACGCCCGTCTCTAGAAACTGTGGTGTCAAGATAACTAAATGCAGTAAAGGCCTTGCTCTCATTGTACATTTTGTAATACCGTATTTAAATATGAAATTCACTTGAAATCGAGCTGTTCTTACCGAGAATCCATTCCCAATTTGGAGTGAAGTCAATAAGATTGTTCATGTCAGGATTTTCTCTTGGCTAAGAGGACATGACTGTTCTTCCCCTGTTCCATAGCTGCAAAGAACAGTATGGGGAACTTTGCTGCTGTACAACCTGCTGTGATTTATAAGCAGGGGCATTGCTGTGTTCTTACTCTCATTTTGTATTTTTCATTTGGTTTGTGTCAATACAGCCCATGTTCTTTTTTTCCTGATACTTAGTTTTATAAGCATATACATTATATAAATATACATTATATAGTACATATTTTTCTATATTTATGTCTTTTACTATGCTGGGAGTGGTGTGATTATGTAATCGGTCTTTGAAGTCTAATTATATGAATGCTGAACTTTTCTCTTAAAAAGAAAAAAAAAGGAAAAAAAATAGTATTCAAATTTACAACGAGAGAACTGTTTTTGTAACTTAAGTTTTGTGAGTATTTATGGCCCAAGAATAGTTCTTCTCAGCATATTCACAATGTATCTAATGCACGACTTGGACAGTAACTAGGGTTACATGCAGGCTGCAGATGACCTTCTGTAGAAGCTATCATATTTTGTCATGTCAAATTTGATCATTTCGAGTGTAACATGAAACACTGCCTAATATCAAAAGTGCCTAATTTCAACCAAGTGTTTAGTTTGCAAAATAGGCTTTTGGGCAGCGTTAACTGAGGAATTATTAAGAATATTGCAAATAGAATATGAGGAAAATTTGCTCTTAAAACAGATCAACCTGCATGCAAACCTAGTCCGCCCCTGCAGCCACTAAACCTGGTATACTTTTCTAAATATGTCAAGCCAGAAATTTCAGTGACTGCAATGCTTTTGTAACTGCTTAACAAAAAACAAAACAAAAAGAACCCCAAAGCTCTTTTACGACTGTTCACCCAGGCCTCTTACAGATAAGGAATGTGTCAAGCCTTGGACAAATGAGTACATATTACCTGTTTACATAACTTATTTCTTGAGCACATTCACCTAAAAGGCTTTGTGGCTAAAAGCATTTTCTGCATAGCATTACAGTGACCTCTTGTGGTTTAGTTTCCAAGCAAAACTAAGCTACATCAGGGTTTCTTTAATTTTAGCACTTATTACTGTATTTGAGTCTGAGGTGAATACTTTTTTATGAGCACACCTAAATAATAATTACCTGAAAAAAAAAAAACAGTTTCAAATTTTAAAGTATATATTTATGTACAGTGCCTAAATAAGGACAAACCTTCCTCTGGGTGAATTAAGTTCTACATTTCAGTATGACCTAGCAGAGAGTTTATTCATGCTCTTTTCTTAAGCTACCCAAAAAAGTCTAGTAGACACACAAGTTTAAAGAAGGTTAAAGATGTAGATACATTAATGTAGACATGTTTATAGGGGAAAATAAAAAAAACCCTCCTGCCATGAGTGAATACAAACCTTGGTTTGATCAGCTTTCTTTCTACATCGAAGTAAACCGCAGTTAATACCAAGGAGCAGTAACAGAACAGATCTTTTTTTAAATCTTTCATACAATAATTATAGCAAATGCATGTACAGAAATGTGCATGCTTGTATATCTTGAGTAAGCGTTCGAGGTGATCAGCCGTCTTTGATTAAATAAGCTTCAACACACAAGCTTTGCCAGTCCTACAAGCTATAGTATTTAACTTTAGCCATGTAGAAAGTCAGTTTTAATATTGTAAGAGTGGAGCATGTGTACAGATTAGGTGTGGCTAAAATTATGGATGAAATACATTGAATGTTAGTTCAACAGCAGCAACTTCTGCGTTTGTGAGTTTGAGATAAATGTCTCGAGGCTTAGAGTGACTGCCAAATAGCAGTAAAAAGGCAGCATAAATTGAGTATGTACCATTCATGACTTGTCATTACTCTGCTCATATATTTTATATTTATTTCAATGATTTGTGTAATTTTATTAAAAAGAAAAAACACCTAAATTATTTTTTACATTCATTTACATGTTTTCTTAATGAACTACCCTCATGTACAAATAAAATCTATGTTGTTTCTGCTCTTATTTAATGTGTGGTAAATTTATTCCTATAAATAAGGGTCACTGAGTCTTTTTTCTCATTAAAACAAAAAACATGTGAGTTAGAGAAGGAAACCTCTTATTTTATTTGGCTGATTAAGAAACAAGAATAAAACAATTTTGAATGTTTTTATACCCAAATGTAAATTAATTTCTGCTTTCCCAGAAAGACAGGCATTATTGGCACAAGAGGGTATAAAAATTCACAAGCATTTGTTATCCTCTGTTTTAAAACAACTCTCATGTTTGCTGAAGGGGGGAAAAAAAGAAATGAGCAAAAGTCTTTTTCTCCTAGCACAGGTTTTGGTTTTATCTAGGCCTGAGATACACACAATAAATATTATTAGGATCTTTAAAATTATACTCCAAACAGAACATATCATATCGAACTAATCAAATTCTGTACAGATTTCACAATCCCTGGCACATGGAATCATAATGTAAATAGTGATGTCCACATGTCAGCCTAAAAAAACAAAATAAAGCGCCACTAAAAGTATTTACAACGCTGCAGGAACTGTGAAAAACGAATCTAGTAAACTGCTGTCTAGTTGCACTGAGTTTCACTCTTTAGCACACTGAGGAAATTAATGAGAATAATGTAACTCCCACACTGTAGGAGGCAGGTTTATCCAGTTTATCCCTGCTACGGTAGACACAAAGCATTGTGAAGTGCCTGCTCCAAAACTAATGTGTCTTTGAACAAATCCTTCCATTTGTCAGGAAACCGTGCGGAGGAATGCTCAGCAAATACTTCAAACAAGCAGATGCGGGAAACGGTCCATGAAGTGCCACTCCCAGCCATCGCTGGCTTCCCTGCTTCCCACCTGGAGTCACACATTAATCATCTCCTCTTTGAAACTGACACGAATCAGAGGGAGCACACTTCAGACGGCCAGAGCGCGAGCAGTGACATAATGACAGAATCAGCATCGGCGACACAGCTGAAAATCCAGCAGCTTGATTTAAATAAAACACAGCGCTCCAGTCTTCTCTGATAGAGTGAAGGCGACATGTCGTTTTCATGCAATTATTACTGCTGATATGAACTCAGATCAGATATCTGGCTATTAAGCTATTCATTTTAATACGTAATCCATCATGTGGTCAAATTAGCATTGAAACAGGACAGAAGTAGGAAGCTCATCTGAAATACTGGGAAACTGAAAATTAAACACCTGGGTTCAATCCAGCTTTATGCACTATAAGATAAAGCTGTTCCTCCAGGGGGTCAGCAACAGGGGTGGGAAGGGCACAAACACCTGGATCTTGCTGGAAAAATGCCTAGTACTCATCATCAGATGTAATCAGCATGATTTTGTCAGACTTGCGGGAGCTCTTGCTGCCTGTGGCCACTTTTCCATTTGTGGTGGGCAGGGTCACCTCCTGTGTGGATTGCTGGGTGTACTGCTGATAGGCTGGAGAGAAGTTGTGGATGGCATCCTGCACCATGTCTCCCGGGTTTATCGTTTCCTTCAGACCACTGGAAATGCTCTGCATTGGTGGGAGAATTTCTGTAGAAAAGCAGGAACGAGGACAGGGGCACATTACCGATCAGACAAAATGAGACTGCAATATAATTGCTTTAAAAATTTCACAAAAGTGATCAATTTGGCCATCTGAATGCAAATAAATGTGAAGGAAGTGAACATTTATTTTTTTAAAAATAACGGCATAATACTTTATTAAATCACTGAAAATTTAAAAAGGAGTAGAGTTTTCATGTACTGACAATAATGTCTATCAAAACGTCCCAATTGCAATGCTAGCAATTGGTCACAAAAAGTAATTTCATGTCTTAAAAAACAACAACAAACTAATAAACCCTTAATAATGAATTCCAGTTATTGGTGGGATCCAGTTTTAATAATTTGTTAGTACTTCTAAATGTTCAAAACATCCAAAAATCCGCTAATCTGTGCAATCAACATTGTGTGATCATTGTATTGATTTCATTGTAGAGACAAAATGGTTTTTGATCTGGTTAAGTGACCAAAAATAGGGCTTGTCACCATCAAGTGACTAAATATTTAATTTGTACTGTCTGTTTATTGTAAGACAACAATAAAAAATAAAAAAGGGGGTGGGGGGCTGGTAAAAAAAACAACATAGATTTTGGTTTCAGGGTCACTGGCTCAGGCTTACGAAGGTGTGCAATGAGAAGCGTAAGGTGTGGTAGTTAGGCACGGCTGACCAAGGTTTGGTGAAACTGTAAACCAGGGGGTGTGGCAACTTCTGAAATAACATATATCAACACCCGAGGAAATATGAATGTTATTGTCCCAAAGTTCAGCTGTATTCTTGAACGGGGTGACTTAAAACTAATCTAATAATGAGGTACTCTATAGAGAAACATTGTTCTATCCAAGTGGACCACATTTCAATTCTGAATTCAAAGAAGTTTAAATGAAACTATGCCTTTTCATCAGCATTTCCAGAAATTGTGTATAGTACGGATTTTAAGGAATGTAGGATTTCCTATATCAGGAAACATTGCAAAATGGCAGAAGACACATCTTTTAGCTTCTATTTGCAATTTTCTTGCAAGCAGCATCGCTCACTTCATCCTTTTTAAAGTACAGTGCCTTTCCCCTCATTTTCCTCTGGTTTGCTCAAAGGCAAATTTTCTCTAATTTATTAGTCAAATTATATGCTCAGCAACTCCAACAGTCACATAGTTCATGTTTGCACTAGATTTAACTCAAGTGCAAATGTGTAAATCTATAGCTACACATTTCAGTTTCTATATCGCTTAAATCAGAGGTATTGTGACTCCTCCAAGTTGCTGGCCTAAAGAGGTACAGGGCAATTCAATTACTTTTACTTCCCAGGCTTTCAGGCCAGTGTCACTCCTTATTCTCTAGGGAAGAAGGGCAATTAGCCTGGGAAGACGTCAACAGATTTTCAAGGCGAGGACAAGAGGTAACAATCAATTGTTTGTTGTTTGTTTCCTCTGTTCTCTGTAAAAACGACATCCCTCACCTGGCACTTCATTTTTTTTCTCCTGGTAGACAGTGCAGGTGAAGGCGTATCTGAGGGCAATGGCAGCAAAGAACATCTCAATGCAGATGATAAAGTTCTGCCAGCCTGCCGCCACAGTACCGGCGCCAACCTCGTGTCCGTCGATGAAAAGTGCATTGGGAATGACGCCACAGCGCTCCAGGATGGCGAG